CATAAATACGGGGGTGGTTTTGGGTGGGGGGAGTAGGAGCGACGACGGAAGCTCGCGATCCGCGGATAATGTCGGTGCTCGCAGGGAGTGATACGTAACTCGAACGTCGCACACCTGTTACGGAGGGGGGGGGGGGGGGGGGGGGGGACGAGAGAAAAGGCAAGAAAAACATTACGTTCGAGGAGCGGTATGTCTCATTTCCGGCTGATTTTCGCAATTTGTGCATAAATACGGGGGTGGTGTGGGGGTACGCGGGTGGACCCGATCGCTAAGAGAGTAGCGGAAGAGAGGAGCAGATGCGCGCGCACTCCCCGTTAATGGCAGGCCATAAGTTATCAAGCGGGAGTTTGAAATCGTATGATCGAGCCGTTGACGAGCGTTCGGTTTTCCAGTTCCGAGATGAGGAGGGTGAGCGACTCCTGCCGCTTCATCCCCTCGAAAGTTCGTATTTGACGGCTGGGAGGATGGGTAGGATGGGAGGATGGCGCTTTTTATTAAAACTCGATCGAGTCTCGATCCGGCGGCCCTCGTATTTTCTCCTCTCGAGTCGAGTATCCAGGTTCTATGCTACAATTTGCCTTGTTTACTCGCGATTACGAGTGTCATTGTTTGTCGATTATCCTAATGCTCGATGCTTTAATGACTCGATTTCAATAGGCATTGAGCGAGGATTTATTCGATTTCGTCGTCCACTTACGTTACTTTTTATCCATGAGAATTATTGGACATTAGTATTGTTAATGGGAAATCGTTGGAATATCATAATGACGATGGCATTGATTTTTCGACAATCGCTTAAAAATCCATTGGCTCTGGCCACATAAACTATTAGCGGAGCACTTGTCCTATTAATATTAACGAATGTTAATGTCAGCCGTGGTTCTGGCTCTAATCACTTATTTGAGAATATGCTTGTCCTTGTCATAATCAGATTCGCGGCAAAGCTTAATCGTCAGCTGTTAATGTGATTATTGACATTAAGGTTGTGTCATTGCGCGAGAAAAGGAAATGAGGATGATCTGGCTGAAATCAGTATAGTCATTGGATAGAATGGAATTTAAATCAGTAAGAATTATCTAATTTACCAAAGAAATAAGACGGAGATTACGTATCAAGCACTCTTCTTAATCACCGTATCGCTTAATTTATCACACACACACACACACATATATATATATATATAATTTTTTTTCACTTATTTTTTCTTATTGCACTGGATAAGCCTTAAATTTTTTCTTTAATTCGCTTTAATCATCTAATGATTAAGTCTAATGATGATTAATCTAATGATGAAGAACTTTAATCATCGAATCATTTAAAAGAATAATAAGCAATTATCATTCCTCGCAAGTACATTTAAATCCCACTCGACATCAAAGTCTTTCGTTTCACTATACTTTCTCACGTTTCTTCTTCATTCCCTTCTCAATATTATACATATATATATATATATATATATATATATAAAATTTTTTACATAAAACTAAAACAAACACATATTATCAAATGATGTAATTTTTATCTCATTTATATTTACAAGATAATATGCGATTTACAAGTTTACGTACATTTTTATTTAAAGTTCAGGAATAGATCGGCGGACATTGTCCGCATGCAAAGCCGCAGTACTATAATTATCATAAATGAAACTTTTCGCTTTTTCTTTCTTTGACGCTCCTATAAATTATGAATTATCATAATGAATTTTATAATATTCTTTCATACTCCCCCGTTAATCAGAATCTCATGTTAAAATAAAATTACTTTTATTTATTTTATTTTATTTTTTTTTTTAATCATAATCATTCGAACAAAATAATGATAATTGTCCATTTTGTGATTAAACTGTTGTAACCAATACTTAAATAATTTAAAGATATCTTTAAAGATTTCTAATTCTTATAAAGCTAATAACAATAGTCTTATCATAATTATCATAAATTTGTTTTCATAATAATATCTATTTTCCATAGAGTTTTGTACACTATGTAAATAATGCATAACTGACTGTTTTCAATTCTATATTAATAAAAGAAAATGCGCCTCACGTAACTTTGAGGCGTCGGAATAATTTATAAGCAAAATAATATGGGGAATATTCGCGAGGAAAAACATCGATCTACATATTTTGCATTACTTATTGAAAATGCAAATCGATCTAAATGGAAATATACGTTCGTGTTAAATATTATTTTTACTTTCCTAATATCAAGGATCATTAATCATTAATACTTAATCAACGTCAATTTTATAGTTGGTAAGAATATAATTACGTGTATATATATATATATATATATATATATATATATATATATATATATAATTATAATAAATATAATATATAATAATAATATATGATTATATATAATATATAATAAATAAAGATAATTATAATATATATAATAATAGAATATAATTATAAGTAAAAAATTATGTATAAGCGCATACAAATATCATCATATCAATAGAAAAAGATAAATAATTATTTGGATGTATTTTATCAAATTAATATGCGTCGACTGACATTAGGAAAAAATTAGTCAACGATGTAATGCAAATTAAATATATTGATTTAAGTGAAGCTTAAATGATACAAAAATCCAATAGAATAAAACAAATACATCGTTGCTCGACCCCTTAGAAATATAATACGTTTATATTTGTGTAATATTTATGGTTCCCATTCGCTTTCTCCACTTATTACAAATCGAAGAATATTGGTTTGATGCTAAATTAAATAAATGTGTTGTACACATATTTCCTATATAATTATTAATCGATCAACCACCTTTAGAAATTTCTATATGGACGCTTATGGACAGTGCACTTATCAATGACTTTTACATATTTTCTCCTAAGATTAGAATAGATCTCAGTAAAAATATTAGATTTACGATAAAATATTTTCGCAAAATATGAATGGGAAAGTTTGTATCTTACGTGGATACGGCTAAAAATATAAAATTTTTCTTGTTGTTGTAAATCTCAAATTAATGACAATCTTAGAAAGCGTTTTATTGCCCTTAGATATAATTATAAATTTAGAGTAATTTATTAGAGAGTGAAGTGGAGGAGTTGATAAAAGGGACATTTTAATGTCGCATTGTTACACTGTTTGTATATGGCAAGAAGACCGTAATATTTTCCAATTTAATAAATTGACAAATTTATCTCTTCTTTTCTTATATTTTATGTTTATTATTTTTATATACATACAATTTTCCTAATTATCTCGTTCTTGAGTGCATTATTCAAGGATCTAGGATAAATTGCACTTGGAGGCAAATAAATAATACGAAGTAAAAAGAGATTGTTAATTTGTCCAAGCTTGCGTTTCGAGAGATAGAGATAGAGATAGAGAGAGAGAGAGAGAGAGAGAGAGAGAGAGAGAGAGATAGTATACCGAGAGAATGTACGTGGCCATAAAAATTATCGTAAAATTCATAGGAATGCTGAAAACTCGAGTGAAAGTTATAACGAGGGCCGTTCCCTACGACGATAACAATTATGTGATTTCTCGTTGATTTTTATAATGGTCGGACTCAGTTTTCAATCTGTCGGGCACTTATTTTCCCAACGCCCAAAGACAGCTGAGACGATCGGTAATTTAATCGGTAAGAATTTTGTAAAACTGTCATTATTTTATGTTTGAATAGACATGGCTAATCGACTCGAAACCAATATCAATCTCGAAATAATGTAAAATGCCTTTGGCTCGGTCCTTTAAATTCTTATTCTAAAATCTCGACTCGCGCTTACGAATTATGAGCGAGCGAGCCAGGCTAATTGCTTTCCTCGGTTTACGTCTTTTTTCTCGATTTCCTTTTCAAGAGTTACCTACTCAGCTACATATTCTAAAATATGTTATGATGTACGATAAGGATATTTGCCAATCCTTCGATGCAAGTCCACAGAGCATTTGAGCTTCGATCTTTCGATGCAAGAGAGAACTCTATGTAGATAATTTTCATTGTCGACGTTATAAGAGATTTTTCGATAGCCCGTAAGGAATTATAGAGCAACGAGTTCATGGATAAATTATTTTTATTAGACTGACGTCTAATATGAAAATGGCGTGTAAATTTTTCATTCGAATCCTAAGATCAACAATATTTGAAAGATGCATGCCAGATTTGTTGGAAAGATAAAATCATAACGAATGAAATGCGAATATGCAACAAAATAAAATTTCGTCATCGCAATCCATAATTTGTTCAAATTTCTCATAATTTTAATACGTAGTTAATCGTTAATTTTCATAATAGGTAACCATATTGAATGTTGAATAATTTTTATAAAACTTGCCATCATCGAATAAGCATTATAAATTAGCTATTTAACTTTTTTAATAAGTTCGGAGAAGAAAAAGAAACGACATCTTAATCCTGCGTCTGTAAAGTATGATTTTTCTTTCTCACTGAAAGTTCAATTCATTAAATACTCGCTGAAATTGAACGAATTCGATTCCTTTCGAAACTTCATTCCTAGCTTCTACGTGAGAGTTCATTCAACCAAGTTTCAAATTTATCCGCCTTATCTTGTTATCGGATTAATAATTTTCAATTTACCGACCTCGTCTTTAACCTCCATTAATCTCCAATGTGAAAGTCGAGACAATTATCGACCTTTACCTTGTGTGTCCTTATATCCATATCCGTTATCCATAATAAAAAGAAATCGTGAATTACGTAGTGGACAGGATTACGGATTGATAAAATTTAGCTTTGCAAATGCTTATAAAAATCACTTAAATCGCGTCTCGAGGAAAGGGAACGAAGCGAAGCGTGCAAAGTCGGCAAGGCACTCGCTCCAATTCACCTTTAAGGACTTTCAAGCGATCCTTGTGCACCACTTATGCCTTATAATTCGTAATTGAAGGCATTTCGTCGTATTTAACGAGACGCCGACGTGTCTTTTTCTTCCCGAACATCTTCTCTCGACTCTCCTCAACAGCTCATCCAATCCCCGAATTCCTTCGGTATTCCAACCCAATCAACGACAGCCAAGGTCGACCTCGTCCTATCTCCCTGTGTCTTTGGCTCGCAGACGTAGCCGAAAGGGTGCGATGCCGCGCGTGAGGTGGAGGCACAGGAAGGTCCAGGAGCCGGCGAGGGTCTGGCTGTGAGCGTCGGGGATCTTCCTAAGGATGGACTCCCGGCCGAAGATCGAGATCGTGCGCGTGCCGTCGACCGAGCGAGGCAACTTCCGGCCGCTGGACGGCGTCCAGCTGAGGGCGGCCTACAGTCACGTGCGCGTCGGTACTTACTGTACGGAGCCGGAGCTCGAGAACGAGCATGAGACCCCGAGGAGGATCGACGAGGTCAAGCCGCCCCACGAGCAGTCGCGGAAGTATAAGAAGTTCGTGACTACACTTTCTTTTTAGGATTTTGCATTTTTTACGTTTGCGACATGGGCGAAGGAATGCGAGCCCAACTCTAATTTTTTTTTGCCTCTACACACACACACACACACACACACACACACACACACATATGTACAGATCTTGTATAATTGTACATATTGACGACAGAAGGCCAAATTACTATTGTATGGTAATGTAGCTTTATTATCTTGTAAATGGTTTTGTTTTTATTTGATACGATGGCCTTGTGTGCCTGTTTTTCAAGCTATCCTATTCTGACTTTCTAAAAAAAACTATCTTCGTTGATCGATCTGGGCCTTTTCAAAAAAAATATATAATTTATTCTCGGTAGAGAGCATTTCTACGTGCCGTTAATTCATTTTTATGGCCATTTCAAAATTTTCACCAATTCATTTCAATCAATTTCAATATTTTTCTTTATTTCACGAGACTTAATGAAGGTTTGCATAAGTTTATGCCTAATGAATTCTGTCAGTATATGCCTTTACAAGTGCAAGTCGAGTTTCGTGTTTGTAATTGCAAATTTGTACCCACGAAGCAATAACTTATTTTTTGAACTTTAAGCATTTCTATTGTTATTGTCATATATATATGTATATATATATATATATATATAGCGCGTTTAAGTAGTTTTTTAAAATTAGCGTCAATTGTTGTTTGTCATAATTTCTTCGAGACACATGTTTTATTCTTCGATAATATTAATTGTTGTTCGTGTAATTTGAATCATCATTTTATTGTCCTTTTAATTCACAACTACACAAAACCACATTATCTTTTAATTAATCTATGTTCGATTTATATTTATACTATCGGCTTATAAATTTATAATTTATTATTTATATATTTCATTAATTCGTGATTGTTAATCGGTAAAAGGATTTGAGAATTTTATGGAAGTCTGATGTCGATCGACAATGTTTAAAACATTACTTAACACATTCATTTCTCACTTTACATGATTGTAATTAATCTTTGTGTAAAAATACAATGCTGATAATTAGGGTTTTTTTTTTTTTTTTTTTTTTTTTTAACTTATAGATAACTTCCAATGAGTCTAATGATCAATTCTAGCGAGCTTCCTCTATTGGCTTTACGTAAGGTTCCGCGTGGCTACGTTGAGCGACGTTAACCGTGAAACATACGCTCGTGTGATATTTTTTAAGATATTTTACGAACTGGTCGAGCGTAGAAAATGTAAAATCCATAACTGCCTCGATGAATGTATTGTATTTGAGAAATGGTCGAGTTAAGTAAAGAATGGTGTTTAGGAACTTGGGACCAGTATCAAGACTGCTTCGACGTCGTCCTCATACGACGAGCCTTGCAACCAAGTCCTGTGATAACATTTATAGCGTCAATAAGAATAATGGCTTCTTCGAATGGAAACATGGATTCAGCTGTCACGATCAAGGTAGATCGCATGTAAATGCACATACCTAATGCTTTATGATCGACGAAATTATTTCATTAATTTGCCACGACTGCAGAATGAGTTTGAATTTCTATGTTTACTCGATGCCTCGACTGGCCCTGTTACAAAAACACAAATATCTTCAAATTATAATGCCATTATTCGTTATATTTTTGTTGTATGTTATGTTTAAAGTATATTAAAATGTTCGCTACATCGACGAATCGATATCATTGATCTAAGTAAAATATTACGCTCGTGATTCGTGATAATGCCACATCTACAAATTAACAATTTGCTAACTCATTCTGCATACGATAAATAAATAAATCGCGACCAATAGGGGCGAAGGGAAGATCCAAGTAAGGCGAGTTTCGTTTATTGATTAATACGAGGTTGCCGAGTGCTTTTCACCTATCCAACAATTCGCCTATCGATACAGTGTAACGTCACGATAGCTAAGTGAAAGCTCCAAGCCCTAATCCGTTTGTTATAATAAAGATCTTGTTAAACGAGCTCTGGCACATTTGCAGCTCTGCATACGAGACAAAGCAATAGCTTAGATTGGCGAGTGGGACGGAGCATTGAGAGGAGTTCGAATAATTTGGAGTACCAGAAAGGGTCTCGTAGCGCTGAACAGCTGTCGAGAAATGTCAATCAGCAAACTCCGAGTGCAAAGTAAATCATCACGCCTCTTCGTAACTTTCTAACAAATAATTATCCCCATTAACTAACATCGTTACTATATAATCGTGGACACCATTGTGGAAGATATATTGATAAATTAATAAAGTACGCAAGCTATTAATGGGAACGCCAACGGCCTTTCAATTATCCAAATATCTAAATTGTAAGATTATCGTTATCTGCTTTCAATGCTGTTTCGATTATGATTGAAATGGATTTTTAATGGCCCAAAAACAACATTTGCTTGACGAAAAGTATTCTTTACCTATAATGTGAAAAGGGATTTTGAAAATAATTTTCATGTTAAAAAGAGAAAAAAGATGAAAAAGGAAAAAATAAAAAATTGCTTCGTTACACGCTCGTACAGTCGCGCTAATATGGCTTTGATAAAAAATTTTGCTTAAACATATTTATCAAAATTACATAATGGTCTACAATAATTGTAAGCAAATTTTTGTTTAACAATGTACTTATAAAAGAAACAAGTTTTTTCCAAATATATCATCTTACGATTATGTCCAACGAATGCCGATAACTAATTATCATATGCCACGAACGAGGAAATTTATCATTAAATTTAGCATTAAACAAAAAAGTTATAAAGAATTCGTGATATCGTTTGCGAGCAATAATTTGCAATTTTAATTTTCGAAAATTCATTAACGAATTAATAAATATTAAAATTCGCATAACGATTAAAAATTTCATCACTTTTTTTTCTCCACTTATGACGTTTGCTTTCAATTCCTAAAATAAAATGACAAGTGCTTGACATAATCGAATAGATTTTCTGTTCGTTCGTGATAAATTTAATAAGCGTATGTGCCACATAAGAAGGTTGAATGAATGTATTAATGAATTTCATTGGTTTGAAAGGGCTTTTTCTAAAATTATATTCTTCTCGAGTCTTACCTTTATCAAACTATTCAAACATACACGACCGATTGTGTAAGCTTTCGTTAATAGTACACAGATACGAGCGCGCGCGCATACACCCACCCTCTATTCAAATTACGTAACAATGATAAATTATTTTTTTTTTTGCTTTTATTTTTGTTTTGTTTTTTTTTTTTAACGAAAGTTATATTACGACATTTGTATAAAATATCTCTCGACGAATGTGCAATCTCGTAAAAGTCATAATTCGTAATTCGTGAAAGACTTGGCGAGACGCGCGTTCCCACCCTCCTTCCCACCAAAACAAATTAACGCCTTTCATGCCACGAGTATACGTAAATAAACGGTTCGTCGGCCAACCGATAAAACCAAACGAAAGGAGTAAAGGGCTCGTCCCTTAGCGCACGCAAAGTCGATAATATGTTGAGTCGAATGATACGTGGCACCTCCGGCACAGGATGTTTCCATCACGAAAAATGTGGCGCAGGTCGAAGATCGTGTCGCTGCTGCGTCGGCTCTCGCCTCGATTGCCGCGACCCGGCAGCAAGACCTCGATGCCGCCCTCCCCGAACAACGGCTGTCACTGGCTACAGGTCGAGTACTCAAGCCCAGGGATGAACGAGGCCAACGAGGAGCCAAGACTGCCCCAGGACCAGGAAGGCGACTGGAGCTACCAGCGCGAGCTACAGCTCAACGAGGTGCGCAAACGAGCGATCGAGACGTCAAAGTCGAGGGTGAGTTTAGCCCGTCGGTGACGAGCTTTCTAGCGCTCGTCGGTGTGCCAAGATGATGGAGCTTTTGTCTGTGAGCGTGGAAAGCGACCTTTTGGAAGCTCGATGCGAGCCTCGTGTTCTCTCACCTCGACCTTAATCGCTTTAAAGTAGTGGAAGATCTTTCGGCGCGCAACGTCCGGTGGGAAGCTTTGAAGATTCATTCCCTTAAATCACCCGAACGTCCGGTAGCACCATTCTCTCACATTTCTTCATCCTTTTTTTTTTTTACGCGTTCAGTGATAATCGCTCAGTGATACTGATCGAAAGGCTATTTTAGGAAGCGATTGACACTATCGAAGAAATGTTCATAAATTTTTGTCCCTGCGAACTATCGAGTCAATGAACAGCTGCTTACGACGTCTGCTTTTTATACGACGAAAACAAGATAAATGTAAGAAACTTTTGTCGTTAAGGAGTGATTTTAATGGCGCATCGATTGTATCGATTACTTTAAGCGTAATGTAACGACGTTGTAAGGGTTTGAGCGCTAAGGATGCCTCTATTTTTAATTGAGCGAAATAGCGATGAAAGTTCTTAGTGAATAAAATTTGTGGTTCAATCAATTCTATTATAATATAAATGAAAAGCGTCGGTAATTTGGATGGTAATTTTACTAACCTCTAAATAAAGTAATGGATTATAAAAATTGTCCAAGGTTTATAGATTCTTTGTTTGTGCGTTGCATTGAAAATTATGAATTTTGCCAGCTTTATGCAATTTGACGACTAATTTCGGTATTTCAATTGACGTGAATTATCAATCGGTAATTTTTTATTTTTACTGTAATTTAATTTTTAAACAATTGTACTGTTATAGAGGATAATGGCGGTTATCGATGGTATTTATATACACGAGGAGGTGCTGTTCACAGAAAAAAGTTCACAATCTTCATTATGATAACACAAACTTACTATACGAACGTAATTATTAAAACGTATGTTCTTATATGTGCAGCGAGACAAAGTAAGCGATAGGACAGTAATATCGAAAGAAAAGAAAAGTCCACAGGCACATGCGCAGCTAAATGTACAAATTCAACAAGCACCACAGGATTTGAATTCGAGTCGCCGAGCGTAAGCCAAAATTTACTACATTACTCTTACTTCAATGTAACTTTCATGATTACGCTACAATTAGCTAAAAGTCTACTAATTACCACTATTTTCCCATCCATTTCTAAATGCACTTGTACATATTTAATTGCATAGTTTAGAAACCTCTGTCAATGATGAATTTACCATTATTAACACAAAACTTTCACCCGTGTACAAATGAATCTGCACACTCTTAAATACTCTTCTTTATGCACTTGATTAACGTTTGATGCGAACTTCACTACTCGGCCGATACTTATTAATTGTGCCGTGTAAATTCATTTATCGCCGAGTATTAAGGAAAAAGTAGAAATATAGAATGATTTAAAATCAAACAAACAAAACAAAAGAAAGTTAACAAAAATTTATTACAAAACTTATTATATGACACCGAGTGATCGATTGATTTCATAGTGTAATTGAATAATTTCGATCGAGAAATTCAACAAAGCTCGAGTCACGCAACAATCTTCAATACCAAAGCACTGCATTATCGAATAGATTTGCATAATGAAGGAGCGAGTACTCAACTTACGTCGAAAAATTCAAATAAAAACAATGTCGCGAAATCTCGCGATGTGTCATTTATGAAAAGAGAGAGAGAGAGAGAGAGAGGGAGGCTGATAGATGGAAAGCTTCTTGGAAAAGCTCGCGAGCGATCGATATCAGAGCACCGCTAGACTTATCGTCACTTGCATTCAGCCGCTGAAAAGTCAACGGTGGCTCCATCTGACGTTTCTCAACCTTCCTCGATCATTCTACACTCGACTCGGCGACGATGCTTTTCCTCGACTTTTTTCATACGTATTATCGTTTTCATACGAATTGCAATTTGAAAATTTATCCAGTATTTATTGGAAAAAATCATCGTGGCATCAATTTTTCTAATCATATAGTCAAATAAATTGTTCACTCCTTGCTTTTTTAAAAGTTCTCGTAAAGTTGGCTCGTGCGATATGAACACACACGCACACACGCACACACACACACACACACACACACACACACACACATGTATACATTTTGAGCGTGAGTCAACTTTGAAAATTTAAAATTTGAAATTGAACAATGAACGTTGAAATTAGATTCTTTTTTAAATAAAATTCTAGCAAAATTTTTATATTTAAAGTGAATATTTTAAGTTAGTAATTAGTAGTTAAAATAGTTTATAATTTATTATTTAATGCTTTCCTTACTTTATTAAGAATCCATGGTTTATTTGGAAAACGTAGAATAATCAATGCTCACCTTTACATTAATTTGCATTCATCTTGTGCGGTAACCAAGTTTCGCGAATGCATTAAAAATAATAATATTCGCAAGATTTTTGCGCGATATATTAAATGTTTTAATTATGAAAACTCGAAGATCGCAAAAGATTTACGGATAATAAACGGATGACAAATGATTTTAGTATTGAATTATCCCATTATTTTTAATCCGTATGCTTATGAAATATATATATATATATATATATATCAAGTTCCACTATATTTTGAAAAGATTTTAGAATTTCCTGGATGATATTTTTTGGCATTTTCGAATTATAGATTATGAAAGATAACGCTTGGTCTCACAGATCTGCATAGATCGAGTACAAACTAGAAGAAGTACGATGTCCTTATTAAGTAAAAATCTTCTTTATAAATATAATACTTTATTATATAAGCCATTATTGTTTAGTGTCTTTATAATTATTATATGTTAAAATTGCTTATGGATATTTTTCAAATGAATTTGGATAGGCAAGATATGAATACCGATTTTAAAACACAATGATAGTCCAGAGTTTTTTTTATTTTTTTATTTTTTAATAAATTGGCTGATAAGTGCAAGAAAACGAGTTTTCTGTTATTTTTAAAAATTGATTGAAAAAAGTTTATTAATTTATTAGAACTAAAATGAAAGCTGACATTTATAAAAGATTTTTTTTTAATTTTAACTCCACACTTATACATTAAAATAAACATTTTTGTCCCACAGAAAAATATAATATTTTAAGGAAATTTGTACAAAAATTTATACAAAAGCTTTAATAGTGATTATAAATTTGATATGCCGATTCAAAGCCCAACCTCATATTATGCAATAATACATTATTGCAGTGAAAGTAATTTTATAAATGCATAATTAACATTTGGCAAGATATTTAATTAATCGGGATAATGAATGGATAGGCAGTTGAGACGATATTTTACGTGGCCAGGGCTTGACGTTATCAAGCTGTATGACGTCAAGCATTGACGGCAAACTTCCTTAAATTTATGAGGACGCAACAATATATCCTTTTGTATATCAAAATTGAAAAGGCTAAAATTATTGATTCGAGCCAATAGTTTATGGCTTATATATTTAGTATTGAGCGCGAGGACAATGGATAAAATATTTTCCCAAACGCTGACTGTAATCATCACAGTGCTAAATGATGACGTTGCGCTCTCCTCGTGATGACAAACACTGTACTTACTTACTTACCACCTTTCGATAATCCTTGACCGTTAATTAGACTTTCAACGTGTATGCGCTCATTCCAATAATAATCCTATAGAATAATTAATATATTTAATATATTGATGTGTTTATTAAATATAAAGTTACGCGGATGAGATGCGATGAGAAAATCTAATTATTTAAAAAGACTTTTGGTCTTCTTATAATTCATTATAATACATTTAAGATCATCATTATTATTATTGCAACTTGATGATTATTGATGATATACGGATAATTCGTGTAAATCGTTAAAAAAAAAAAAATTAAACAATTCGAGCAACACGGATTTTTCTTGCTCCTTGAATTAATATTGCATTTGATAACGGTTTTTGGGTGATAATTTTCGCCAGAACGCAGCATATAAGGTAACTCATTATTTGCGCCTCGTTACTTATGTTAAACTTAGTAAATTTTTTTGTCATATTATTTAACATATTATTAAACAAACGTTTGAACAATTTCGTTAAAAATACAATCGGAAATTAATTAATTAGTACGCAATAGACGCGATAGTTATTTATAATAAAATAGATATAAGTTCATAATCGCTGCTCTTGCGGCCGTTGGGTGGATGAAGGAAATTAATGAAAATGTACGATTCAAATAAACGATCATAAATACTGATGATTTTTATTAATACGAAGACTATATTACATGCCAATCGTACGATGAATATTCAATGGAATTCCTTAGTGCTTTTAGACTAATGCCAATCACTGTTCGTTGCCCTCGCAAGACTGTACAGATTTAATTTAAAAAAAAAAAAAAAAAAAAAAAAAAAAATTATAAAAAAAATTAAAAAAAAAAATAAAATCATAGTAAAATAATAATAATAATAATAATAATAATAATAATAATAATAATAGTAATGGTAATAAAATAAAATTTAAAAAAAATAAAAAATAAAAAAAAATAATAATAATAATAATAATAATATATATATAATATAATATAATATAATAATTGTGATAGCAGTAACGGGGAATCGAGTCGAGCTTGACTTCACACGGGCTCATAGGTCCACTTGTTACCAAACGTCAATTTATCAATATTTCTCTCACTTTAATTAAAGTCTTCAATTAAACTTTCTCACTCGCAATACGTGCAGACCAAATTGTAAAAGTAGCCCTTGCAGTAATGGTTTACGTATTTGTGAACGCGGCAGATTCCCAAGGTCTTGTAAACCAAACAGAGGTGATTGTCCTTGGACGGTACGTGAATGAGGGCACCGTTTTCCTCCTTCACATCGACGTAATCTATAGTTTCTGCCTCCACGTTGCCATTAGTGTTAAATTGAATTATAACGTCGAGGGTTCCTGCTTCATTGGTGGTTTCCGGCTCTTCAAGGTCGTCCTCTATAAATGGCCCCTCGCCCGCTCCGTCTTCTTGTCCCGAGTTATCGCAGTCCAGCGGGTCAGATAGATAGTCGCCGATGTCCGATACGTCGGAATCGTCGGTATCGGTATCCTTTCGATTTTTCACGGGAGTCGTGCCATCGCGTTTCGATGGTGAAATTCGAGAATATTCGTCGGTCTTTTCCGATTCGGATGACTTGTTCTTTATCTTGTCCGCTGCTTTGTCGTCGTTGTCGTTGTCGTTGTCGTTGTCGTTGTCGTTGTCGTTGTCGTTGTCGTCGTCATCGTCCTCGTCGTCCTCATCGTCATCGTCACCTTGGCTACTTGGCGGCGTATTACAATCCGCGCTCATAATTATTTTACTCGTACTGGGCTCGTCGTAATAATGCTTACGCGACTTCCCCATTCCCATCGAAGTTGAACACATTCCATCCATGTCGTATGAATCGGATTTGCACTTCTTGCTTTTCCACCTTTTCTGACTGTCGTTACTGCCGGCCGACACATTGTCCGATTTAATTTCAACTTCGGCTGCAACTTCGACATTGGCTCCAACTTGAGGCTGCTCCACGTTAATCGCTGCGTCGTCGCTACTTCCTGCTTCGAGCTGCATTGGAATTGGAGCCGAAGATGTGGATGATGTGGAAGCCAAGTCTAGAGTTGGGGCTGAAGAAGCTGATGCTGCCGCTGAAGTCGAAGCCAAAGTCGAAGCTGGACCAGATGGGCCAGGTTGCACCGGAGCCGAGCCCGGGGCTGAACGCGAAGCCGAGCCTGCAACTCCATTTTCCACGTCATCTTGGTACGTGGCCTTATCACTGATTAACGTATAGCAACCTTTCGACCACCTTTGGAGCTCGATTGTCATTTTTGGATTCATCGATTCGCTCTCCGGTACTAAATCTAATTCTGTGTAGTTCTTAAGCAGCTGAAAGACAGTAATTGACCTGAATATTTTGTAAAAGTCTGCCAAAAATTCTGGCAAGCTATCTTCGTCGGCTACTTCGTAATGACGAATGTCAGCTGGGCCAACAAACTTCCACCTTATACTTTCTGACTGCAATTCACCGCACAGCGTTTCATAAACATTCGACTTTAAAAAATCAGATAAAAATGCAAAGGACTCTTGCTCGACGTCTTCTTGAATCTCTTTAACTATTCCAGGATATAAATAAACTTTTGATATCCAGAGATCTAGATCGACCTCCGTATACTCTGGATTCAAGTAATTGGGTATGGGCTCGGGTCGAGGTGGTCTTTCCTCGTCCAGTATTGGCCCATGAAACCAGCCGTTGATGCTCCATCTTGATTTTGTCCCCGTGAGTACCTCCGCCACTTGGTGATAAGAGTGATCGAGAACTTCGAAGAATATAAGCGAATTGTATTCGGGTAGCAGGGATCTTACGACGCTAATGGGCCTCCCATTCTCATCGGTGCCAAAGAGGTCCAGCGCGCCGCCATCCTCGACTTTCCAATTGTCCGACAGATACAGAATGTAGGCTATTTTACGATCGCCCAGAAAGTCATCGTGACAAAGTAGAAAATCGGTGTCCGTGTAGCAGGACGTCGACATAGATATCTTATTATTTAACCTGAGCTTCGTAAATTTCTCCAACCAGTCGACCAAATCCGTTTGTAAGGTTTCATAAAATATCCGTATAGTTGGCTTGTTTACCGATACTAAGTCATTCGATTGCTCAAACTGATACAAGTCCGTGCTGTTCCTTCTCGTCTTGATATCCACCAAATCACCCTTAATATTGTCCATAAAATCCTCGTTCTTGATAAAATTGGAGATCTTACAGAGTCGAAACGGCTGCCCTATCACCTCCACGCTCGACGACTTGTACGAAGTCCTGTTATGCCAATGCGTGTAAAACACATCTCTGCACTCCGGGTCGTACATGCAATCCGAAAAAATGGAATGCTTAAATTTCTTGGTCTCCGGCTCCCCTTGTTCCATGATATCTCTCGTTTCTTGTCAATTATCTTTCAAACACAAGTCCCTCGGCCTCCCCAATACAAATTGATTTACAAACAAAAAACAAAAAAGAAAAACAGCAAAGAAAATAATGTACATACACCGTCGACGACCGTCCCCCCTTCTTATCACCGATCGTCGACAATAAATAGTTCGTTTCACAAAGCCGCGGCACAACAATTCGATATCACAATAGGTTCAATGGCAAAATTCTCTACCAACGTCTTCCCAAGTCCCACTACGCAAGCAACAATAAGCAATTAACGCGCGAGTACCACTCGCCGCCCCTCGCTACGTACTCGGCCTTAATTCAAAGTGGCGCCCGTAGCGTAAATATCGCAATTGTCCGTCTCACTTGGGGGCGTTCGAAATTGCCGCCAGCGCCGCGTGCCCCGGAAATACGGTAGCAGTAGACAATTTTTTCGCGTGTCCGCGATGCCTGCGTTCCCCCACTTTTCGAAACGCGACAACGTGCTCGCGCTTTCCGGAACTCTCGTCGGTCTTGCCACAGCAGCCACGATGATCCGGGTGTCGACGATTATTGGCCTTCCGCTGGCTCTCAATCGAGTCTCGTCGTGCCTCGTCCGCCGAACCTCGTGTCTCGCCTTCTTCCTCCAATGTCCATAGGAGTTCGCGAGCACTCGACCACGTGCTCTGCTCCTTCGTCGTAGCCGCCGCCGCCGCAGCCGCCGCCGCCGCCGCTGCTACTGCTATTGCTGCTGCTGCTGCTGCTGCTGCTGCTGCTGCTGCTGCTGATGCTGTTGATGATGCTGTTGATGCTGCTGCTGATGCTGCTGCTGATGCTGCTGCTCCTCCTCCACCTTCTCCTCCTTCTCTTCCTCGCCTCGTGTGTTTGCCTCCAGATACGGCTCGACTTTCTGCAACAGCAAGACCTGCTCGTTAATCGTCGTTATTATAGCCTCTGAGCGGGATGCTCAACAATAATAGTATCTTTGTTGAGCCGAGGTCGCCGGCACCTCGTGCTCTCGCTCGCCCCTCCCCCGCAACGACCTCGTACCCTCCTCGCGCGACCCCGCAACAGGTTAGCGCTGCCCGGGAGGACTGACCTGCTATTAATCGCGCGTTTCCTCTAAAGATTAACGGCCCCACGGGATCGCGACGCCGACAGGAGAACTCGAGTTACTCGAGAACTCCCTGAGTCACGGCGGAAGTGTGCGACGAGAGGTTCAATCGCCTCGCCGTCGTTGTTGCTGCTATTGCTGCTGCTGCTGCTGCTGCTGCTGCCGCTGCCGCCGCCGCCGCCGCCACCGCCGCCGCCGCTGCTGCTGCTGATCCATGTTGCTCGCCCCTCGCGCTTACATACTATACTACTGCGCTGCGCCAGTGGGGCTCCCGAGGAAGAGACCGAGCCCTCGCGCCGCTACTGCTGAATTCGAAAACATCTGCGGGGTAATCGGCAGTTGGAGTGTCCTCCGTAGCGGCGCTGTCTTTCCGCGCTTGCTTCCCTCTTTTGTCTCGCTCACTCGCGATGTTCGGCGAGGGTAACACGGGTTCCAGGACGTTCGACCGACAAGGAAGCTCGTGCACGCGAGGTGGAGTGCAAGAGCCGAGCCTTCGTGGGTTCGCTGGGCCGTGCGCATGGCTGCGATTATCGGGGACTAGACCGGCCCCACGTGGCGCGACACCACGTGCTTCCGCTCAGTAAATACGCAGTTAGTGCGATCGTTACGCTTTCTCGCATGTTCCTTCGCTGGCTGCCTTCGGTGCCGTTCACGGCACCGGGCGTGGGTGGAGTACGCGTGTGACCGTAATCGACCGGAATCCCTTTTCCCCGACTCTACGCGCTGTTCGTCGGTCCTCGTCGGAGTAATCCTCGTAATCGAACGAGCGACGATTTCAAATTTAGCGGTCAAAATCTTGGCTACTCGCGACGCAATTTTTGCCATTCCACGCCACCGGAAATTTACCTCCCACCCCCATCGCCCTTTACGCTTGATCGCTCACTCTCTCTCTCTCTCTCTCTCTCTCTCACTCTCTCTCTCTGTGCATGCGCGCGCGCGCATATAATCGAGCACGAGGCGCTAGGCGACTACATGCGTAATGACCGCGTGCAATACGTAACCAGCAATCCCCGGAAGCATATTGGCGTACATAAATCCAGCGCGTTGCCATCGCGTTGAAATTTGCCTGAAAAATGCACTCGATCGTTTGGCAGTGCGAATATTGAAGTAATCGTCGGACTCTTGTGCGTGTGGCTTTCTCCGTTCGATGCGAAATAACGCGTAGGGGATTGATAGGAAATTCCTCGTGCTTATATTGCATTTACGGTGAAATATTGCTCTGGGAATATTGTTGGTGGTGTCGACGTGCGACGAGGGCAGTTTGTTTGTGTTGGAGAAAACTCGTATATCATATCAAAGTTACGCCGTGATACGATTTCCGTCGATTGGATTTCGCTTAGTTTCGTTAGATAATTCGAGATAAAAAATTCATTTTAATCGCCAAGTCGTTTAGAGATTTTATGGATTGAAAATGGCCGTGTTGTATTAAATTTGGTATCTAACCAATAATAATAATAATAATAATAATAATAATAATAATAATAATAATAATAATAATAATACGTCAAACATGTCGCTTGTAAGATATATGATTGTAAGGTTCGCGTGAAGCGTGAATCGGTCGTTCGAGGAGCGGAGCAAGTCACTTAACCTCTCAAACTTTGCACATCGTACGACGACAATTTAATCTCTTGACTTTTATATTTTAAATTTGTATCAATTTTATACACCCAATGTCACGTGGAAGTACAATTGCGTGCGCGTGCACGTGTGCATGCATGCGCGCGGCCATAGGTGTGTGAGGATGCGTGTAACTCGGAAAAGTAACGGAAAGGGACATTTTATTTAAATATAAGCGGATAAACGAATTTCTTATAGAGTTTGACCGAATAAAGTCAAATATGTAAACATAGGGTGAGATTTACCTGTAGCTTTATTTATCTACTTTGCAAAGCTCGAGCGAACCAACGGTCGTGTAAACAGTTAATATACGTCATTATTTTCATTACAAATTATAATTATACTTAATTTTACGAGCATGAACAATTGATCAGGCCATATTACAAACAATTCCAGACTAAATCATAATATTACGTAAATTTCAAATTGACGATTACGTTTGTTTGACGAGTAAAGTTTCTCATATAAATATAATTTATTTGTACTTGTATCAATTATTCAATCTATTAAGCGTCTTGGGAAAATTCAAAATTACGCTCTCTAAAGTACAAACAATTCTAAACTTTTATCGTAAGCTATGAAAATAAAGGAGAAATATCGTATCGCTTTTATTTTATTTACACAACTCGTACGTACACAGATTCGTACATAAATGTTGTAGAAAAATATAATTTAAACATACTTGGAATATTAGAGAGTAATATTGTTAATCATCCGTATTTGTTGAAATAGACTGTTTTTTTTTTCATTCTTTCTTTGGTTTTTTTTTTTTTTTTTTTTTTTTTTTTTTTTTTTTTTTTTTTTTTTATTAAAGAAGGTATATCAATTGAGACTTTGAACATAACTAACTCATAATGATTGATTTAAAAAGAAAAAAATTAATGCTTAATTGTACCATTTTCTGGGCGCGCGCGGGTAAATGCATATAAACGCTCGTTCAAATGGACAATTTCGGCATTTAAAGAATAGAATCTTTTCAATGTCGTAAAATCACATTGACCATACAATACTACAATAATATGTCGTTAGAATAATGAACGAATTGTCAAAAAATTAATGGTGTATTAAAACAATCGCTAATCTTAAATCCAAGCATTTAACCAATAATGGTCCACTTGATATGTTCATGGCCGCAAATAATAATAATTTAACATCTACTTCCAATTATCCATTACGAGCAATTTATAAAATCATAAATGCAAATGGCATTTATATAGTGGTATATAATGTGCGTGCGTGCATGCGCGATTATTAAAAATTTTTTTTCATTGTAGTTGCTCCTATTTTTGTTATTGTTGTTGTTGTTGTTGTTATTATTATTATTATGTTTTTTTTTTTTTATTATTATTTTTTTTTTAATAAAATAAGGGCAAAAAGAAAGCAGTAGATTAAATTCCATTAAATTCCGCGGAATATCGTTTGCAAAGAATTTAGATCGCTTACTTGCCCTAATTACCGGTTAATATGTAGTTTGAAAATTTGAAAATCGGTTCCGTCAAACGGTTTGTTGTTTACAAAAGGGATGATCTTTATGGGCGTAAAGTACAGTGATAATAATTAGCTTTTCTTCAACTGCTACGATATATAATTATAAAGGCGGATCAATGCACGAATACACATAGAGTGTGCGCATATTCGTCGATAGACATTGCCGGGACAAAAGCCGAGATTAACAGTATTGTTTTACGAAATGCGGATAGTGGTACTTACAAGTGAAGCATGTAGCTTGTCTCGTTAAGTAAATAAAAAGTAATCGATGAGTCGTCAAGTAAGTGTGATTAAAGCAGCCCCAAGCGCGGCAACCCAAGGCGGATAACGTCAGATGATGAATGGTCGTGGAGACGACGGAGTGGCCGGTCCGACTCGCAATGACAGTTGGCCGAAAAATCGCACATGTATATAAAAGCCAGGTCCACTTTTGCCGGCGACCTCGAAAAAGCGCGCGTCCCGCGGCCATTGGCTCGCGTACGATCTCCCGCGCGTCGACATTACGGGCGCGGGCCACGAGAGTGCGCCACCAGGCCCGCGGAATCGCGTCCCCGCCGCACCGCTCGTAGCAGCGACCGACGACGACGACGACGACGACGACGACGACTACGACGACGGCAACGGCAACGACGACGATTATGACGACTATGACGACTATGACGACTATGACGACTGCGGCGACGGCGGCGACGGCTGCGGCGGTGACGGCGGTGGCGGCTGTAGCGGCTGTAGCGGTGGCGGTGGGGGTGGTGACGGCAACGAGTGTGTGCCGTCGTGCTTCGTGAGTCGCGGGGGCCCGTGGTAGTGGAGTCCTCGGGACTCGGTCGTGGAGCACCAGTCGCCGTACGAGCGTTCATTGACCAAGTTGCCTTGGTCGTGGAAGAGTTAGTGCCGCGAGCGAGTATAGGATAGCGAGTATACGAGCGAATCAACCAGTCAGCTTGCTAGCAAGATAGAGAAAGAGAGATCGAGGGTGTTGGGGAGGGCGGGAGGGCGGGAGGAAGGTGGAAGAGCTGCGTCCCGTAAGCAGAGAGCGAGAACGAACGTGCATGGTCGTGTGCATGTGTGTGCGCGCGCGCTGACAAATATGGCAGTCGTCCGGACCTGACGAAGGCAGGCGCCTGCCCGGGACACACCCTGGTCCACGCTCGAGTGCTTCGGTTCTTTGTCGAGGATTGCAGCAGCAAGCGATCGCCGTCCGAAGAAGCGAGGAGCAGCCGCGGAAGAACCGAGAAGGAGCACGTGAGTACCGACGACGGAAGGGAGACCCCCGTGCCACGAGCATTGGAGCCGAGACTCCCTTTTTCTCGGGGGGCGCGAGCCTCCCTTTTTCTCTCTCTCTCTCTCTCTCTCTCTCTCTCTCTCTCTCTCTCTCTCTCTCTCTCTCTCTCTTTCGATCCAAGAGCGCGGGCACTTGCTGTCGGCTGCCACCATAACCTAGTTGCACAGCAAGTGCGTACGTGTTGTTCGCGCCAGTGTGAAAGTGCCAACAGGCTTGACACCTTTTCTTCGATAG